ACTTACATCACGTACGGCCGCATCATTAGTGGAGGATATGAAGATAAGAATTCGCGAGAATTGTGTTAATGCATCCCTGCTGACGCCATACCTTCTTTGAATGTGGTTGAACGGATCTTTTAGTGTCAGCGACAGGTTATGCTTTAATTGTTTACTTCTAATTTTCGTTTTAAGATGAAACTTGTGTTGCGACGACAGCACGTACTTACTCACATTATTTCTAAGTTTTGCAATTTTCGCATACTCGGAGTTCAACGAAAATGAGACCTGCGCCATTCTTTTAAGCGTCCCTTGTTATATTCGAGGGGGAAAAATTAAAAAAAAATTTGGAGCGTTTTTGAGAAAATTTCTTTTTACAATTTGCGTTAACTTGTGTTTTGTGACTTGTGACTTGTAACTTGTGTTTTTTCAAAAAATCTTCCATATTCTAATTTGTAGTTTTGAAGTGTTAACTTTTTGCAACTTTTGAACATTCAGAGAGTTCCCCGGAAATTGGCAAAACATTTTTTACCACCCTTTGTGAAGTGTATTTTGCAAAAGCATACACCGTACAAGAATACCCTTCTAAAAATTGGAAGGTGTTTAAATTTGCATGATGAACAATACTAATAATAAGAATATACTGTTGAACTTTTTGGTCACTTCGATTGATTCTTTTGGACGAAATGTGAACTCAACTACTTTGAATGGTTGTAACATTCGAATGATTGTAACGAAGGATTCGCGTGGACGTTTGTGGGAAGAGAAATTCGACCGTTGAGGTCGACAAGTCGTTTAGCCTTGCGTCTTGCGGCTTGGAATCGGCTGAGGTACCCGGTACTGCGCCTCGAACGTCCGTTTTCACTCTTTCCGTGCTAAATACGCCAGACTTCATACCCTTTTGGGTAGTTAAGTATTAATCAAATACTAACATATGTGATATTGATTAATTTGTTTTCTCAAGACCTTTCTCCTCGTGTAAAAAATAAGTATAGTGTTCATTTTAAAATGAAGCTAGTCCAATGTGATAATCCAAATACCAAACTTAATTTTAAGAAAATAAATAAGAAGCTATTAAATTATTGTTCTATTTACATTGAGCTGTCGGATGCAAATTATAAAATAAAAGTTGAAATTTTGGGAAACTGTAGAGAATTTCCAAGGCTACTATTTGTGCTCAGTCGTTTTTATAATCTCCTTCAGAATATGAGATATTCTTAAAAATCGAAGGAAAAAGGATTTATTCTATTTTCCCTTCTTTTTTGTTGACTGTAAGGGTTAAAATAAGGGCGTCTGCTAGTTTGATATACCACCTAAATCAATTTTTCGGTGAGAAGGACGTACAAAACATTGATTCTGGCTATACGTCGTGTTATTTGCTTTATTTAGAAATTGGAATTATCCACTTTTTCGTTGCTAGGGCCCGGTACAGTTCTTCATTTTCGTTCACCAATATCTCGTCGTCGAAGCCGATTCGTTTGGACACGAGATAAGACCCATAATTTCGAATTCAGTCTCAGCATCTGGAAATAAAATGGTCTAAATATGTCACCATTGACGGAGAGTTGCTAATTCGGTAAGGTGATTACATGACCTAATCGTTTAACATTTGTGTGTGATTACTGAACTAGCGCGGTCTCCTCTCCTAGTGAGCAGCACTAGCCCAGTCCCTGATGTAGCGCTTATCTTACCGAGATTAAGTTTGCTGAGAATATCCTAATGAAATTCAAGGGTTCTTCACCTTTCTGCAATCGCTAAAAGTATTTTCACGACTCAAAAATCTGTCGACCTCGACTGGTGGCCATCTGAAATCATGAAGCCACCATTCTCATTACTATGCTATAGAAAACGCCCTATATGTTCATTAATTAATTAGTTTAATAGTGATTTTGAATACTTGTATTTTAAATAGTACTGTTTTTGTGCCAGCGCCGTATCACTGCACTGCGTGTTTACAGGCGATATTTGGGTCTTATCCCTTATCATAACGAGTCGATTCGGATGTTGCGAGATCAATTTATGCAGGTGCGGATCCAGAGACAAATTTTGGGAGGGGAAATTCAAAATGTTTTGGTCGAATGTGTCATATTACAGATAATTGTAAAATGTCGCAGGCTACACTCAGCTCATGCTACGATATAATTTTATTCGTTTCAATGATTATCCGAAAATAATTTTGTTTGAAAGTTTCCTGAAAAGTTAAAATTAATAGTTACTGAACAATTTGATGGGGGGGGGGATTTCCCTCATTTCCTTACCCGTGGATCCACGCCAGGTTTATGAAAGCGAAGAAAGAGTGGTGGGAATGAGGACATTCTATTTCGTATTCAAATGAGAATGGTTTGTTGCAATTAATTAAAAATGTATTTTGGCTAAAAATGCCAAATGCATTGGAAACTATGCTTTCGTCAAGACTAAGAATGTTGTATATTATTCGTATAAGCTGAAGGCCGGAGCTAATCACTAACTATGACGCGAGTTGCGAAGCATCGGATGTCAAATTGAAAGTGTTCGGTAAAGAAGCACAGGGATAATTTACGTTGGAAAGAAGCAAGGATGTTTTATGATAATCGCATAGACCGGACGCCACAGCCTCGTCCCTAATTGAACGGGTAGCGAAGGCTCACTGCTTCTTAGTCGTTTTGAGGTTGTAAAAATGACGCCATTCCGCTCTCAGTCCCGTGTTGTCGTTCGTCGTATTTTCGAGGTAGTGGACCGATTGTCTCTCACTCGTTTCGAGAGAGAGAGAAGAGTCCGATATTTGCATGTACATTTACATTTATGTAAGAATTATATCATATTCTTACCTTCATGTAAATGCTTATATTTAAGCTTCATACTGTAAAAATATTTACTGGTTTCTTTACGTTGCCTCTTGTCGCAGTATATGCATAGTGCGTGATGAGCCTGCGGGCGTCTGCTAGTTTGATATACTACGTAAATCATGATGCGCATTTCGACTGGTTTAAGAGCAAATAACTGCTTGGTTGAATATTTCCTTCTCTACGTGAAACGTCGATTTTGTCGGATCAACGTGGAGCCAGACGTTTCATGGCACTGTTTCACGAACTTTCTTTTGACTTTCGTAAGCAGCAGCGGTGCACATTACCGGTGCATTCAATTTACTTCCAGCCTTGGGATAGTGGAAAGTATACTGATACAGCACATTACGTCATCTTCAACGCTTGGGTTAACTTAAGAAATGCCATTCATGCATATCAACTGCAACACTGATACAACGCAAAAATACACATTTTGAGTTATTACCATTATTTTATAACACTTTATAATGATTATTAATAGAATATTAGAATTAATTGATAATTAAAATTATTATAATAATTAATTAGTAATATAATTTGTAGAAAATCTCCTAGTACTACTTTTTCCATCATTTACTTGTATCTATTACGAAGCTTGTGATACTTCCATTTCCATCACATGCGATATCTTTAATATGTATGTCTCAAAACGTCATTTTTTGAATTGTGTCAGCATTGAAGCCCATGAATAAATGAGTTTTTTTTCACAGGGAACACCATTCTCTTCCATATTGCTCTCACACGATGTCAATTTCATCTATTTTTGTGAATATCTTGTTTCCATTTGCCCTGAAACAAAAAACACTTACTTGAGAGAATACTGTAAATATAGTATGAGATATATATGAAATAACTCCGTTATAAAAAATTTTTCAAGCAGGTTCATTAAGTTAAAAGTTGAAGCACATCTAAATCCTGCATTCATTTTAGAAAATGCTAACTTTTCAGGGAAGATATTTTGGCAATCAAAACAGATTTTCAAATACGTGTAACAAAATTAATTATTTTCGATTTTCCTTACACCATTTTCTGAATATTACGTGTTTCAAGATGTGAATAGATTTGTTTCTATGGATGGGGAATATCATTTTACTGTCGTTTGTTAGCTGATCTCGATGAACGTTGCCTCGCGGTTTCTTATTCGCTGCATAAAATGCGCTAAACGCTGCTCAATGATGAGAAAAACTTTTTGTCTGGGTGAAATGCATAAATGATTTCATTCTTGTGTGCTAGCTTGTGATTATTCTGCCCAGTGCTCTCAAACGTTCGGATACATAAATTAGTGATTGGAAAACCTGGGAGTTTTTCTTCTTACTCCCATTTTTGGTCCATTATTACAAATTATATCTTTCATTCATTTACCTATTGTGTATACCAATTTTAGTAATTTTCGACAAGCATTTTATTTAACTGTGCATTTATTTGAAGTCAATTTAAGCTCTATCCAATATTGATACATTTCCAACGGCAATGTGATTTTACTTTCGTATTTAATGAAATAGTGACTTCTATCTTTTATAAACTAAAAAAATCACAAACGGGAGATATCCTTCGTTTGTACTTGCTTCAACGAAGACTTTACTTGGCTCAAGTTCGTAATGTACGTATAAACAATAAATGAAAATGGTTGGAACAAACGCTGGGTGGCAACAAGGGCGGATCCAGCCGATCATTTTTTGTGTGTGGGGAGAGGAAGCATCACAGATTGTTTGTTAAGTAATCAACATATATGTTATTATATTGCATATTTTTGTAGAGCATTCATGATAGTAAATAATAATAGTTTTTAAATAATTACATAATTCTAACATAAATACTTAAATACATTTTGGCAAATATAAAAAGGTAACTGAGGTTTTTCTCTAAGTCGCTTCAGGTGGGGGGGGCATGGCCCCCATGGTCCTCCGTGGATCCGCCACGGGTGTCAGCAAATTTTCAATATAAAACATTCGGTGAGAGGAGTTGTGGTAGGGCCAATCTGCATAGGATCCTCCTTCGCCCGTGACCCCTCCCGCCCCCTGTCTTCCGGCAACAGCCGCGGGTGGCCTCGCGGCGAGCGCAAGCGGCGTTGCGATGGCGTGGGCGGGGCGCCACGCGTGGCGTGGTGGTGGCGGTGGCGGTGGTGGTGGCGGGGGGCGTCCGGC